CAACAAGGTGCAGAGCTGGATGAACACAGCAGGCCAAGCAGCATCATCTGAAGGGTCTAGGCCCAAAACATCTGCCTTTCTGCTCCTATGATGCTGCTTGGCCTGCTGTGTTCATCCAGCTCTGCACCTTGTTGTCTCAATGTTCTGGGGATCCAGGTTCAAATCCCACCAGGGCAGATGGTGGAATTTCAATTCAATAAAAATCCGTAATTAGGAATTATGAATCGATTGTCAATTGTCAGGAAAAACCAGGAAATTGTCGTTGTTACCTGGTCTGACCTACATGTAGCTCCAGACCTACTGTAATATGGTTGGCTCTTAATGACCTCTGGGCAATTAGGGATGGGCAATAAGTGCTGACCTAGCTGGTGATGCCCTCATCCCGTGAATGAATAATAAAGTTAAGAGTTAAGGAGTCTATTGAAGGCCTTTCCCATCAGAACTGGTCTGTTTATGTCAGCAGGTGAACTGCATACTGTAGGTGAAAGACATGAAATTGAAATAAGTGGTCCACTGGCAGACTGGCAGGTGCTCGGCAATGTTTCATCCCATGAGCTTTACCCACCATCCAGGTCACAAATCTCTCATAGTCAATGGGCTACAGCAGGAATTGCAGTCCATCTAGTGGAGGGACTGTCCTTCCATGATCATACAAACAGCTGTGCCCTTCTTCGATTTAAAACCGATTAGCCAGACTTCAGAGTGTGTGTCCATCTTGAAGTTGCACCCCCATATATTATACACACACATATATATGTATGTAGGAGTTGAAAGATCTCACCTTGGCTGGTGAGACCACTGATGTGTCATTACTGAAGGGCATCCTTTTGACTTTCCAACTCAGAAGCCCACCCAACATGCTTGGACAGTAAGCACACATCATAGAGTCATAGCGTCGTATAGCACGGAAACGGACATTTCGATCTAGCTCATCCATGCCGACCTGGTTTCCCAAATTAAACTAGTAACATTTTCCTCCATTGGCCCCATATCGTTCTAAACCTTTCCTATTCATGTATCTGCCCGAATGTCTTTTAAATGTTGTAACTCTACCTGCCTCTACAATTTCCTCTGGCAGTTCATTCCACATATAAACCATCCTCTGTGTGTAAAAGTTGCCCCCCAAGTCTCTTTTAAATCTTCCTCCTCTCACCTTAAAATTATGCCACTCCAGCAAATGTCACTATCGGGTAACCATCCCGACACCATGCAAAGTCAGGAACCTGCCAATCTCTCGAATAACCTCACACCGAGCTCCCATCCCATACCTCCTCCCTTCTCCCCAGCAATATTTCCCCACTTATCATCTATTAAAGGGATATCCTGTTTCAAAACTTTCACCAGTGACAAAAGGATAGGTTTAACAAACTGCTGTCCTTAACACACAGCGAAAACGCTGAGATGGGCACTAACATTGGAGAGGGAAATAAATTTCCTGGCATTGAAACAACCAGTGACAATATTAGGAAGAAGTGAATGAAGCAAGAGAGGAAACAAGAGATCAGGCTACGTGTTTGAGCAGCAAAGGCTGAATGACCCCCAAATGTTTCTCTGTAGCAGACATTTGTCTTTCTTGTTGAGTGGCCAGGGGATCCAGGCCTCCCGAGACAGTGACAGCACTGCCTGTAGTAACCAGTAGCACCAAAGGCAGCTCAATACTACAATGACGCAGAGGATAGGGTGTCAGTGAAAAAGAGAGAGGAAACAAATACGTAACTCACGTCTGGACCCAGGAACTGAGAAGATGCAGCTGAGATAAGGAGAGAAAACAGGGCCGTGACGGAGCTGATTATCCTGAGGGCTGAAAAGCAGCAATATGGGTCCTCACAACACGCCATTCCCTTGTATGCTCCCCTTGACCCAGAGGCGGTCACGATAGTTGTACATCTACAAGCAGGCACATACACACACCGTGAGAGGCTGAGTGATTGATGAGGGGAAGCTGGTCTCACAGACTTCACATCTGCCCCTGAACCAGCTGCCTTTTTTTTATTTCACAGCACACGGGGCCTGCACTGCACCCTGGGGAAATTCATTAATTAATTAAATGAATCTCCTTTTACACACAGGCTGTATACAAACACTAGTTAAGGAAACCATGAGCACTAATGACTGGGACAGAGTTATTTCGTGCCAAGAAAAATATGCTTCAGCTCTCCCTGCAGCTGAAAACGTTTTTGCATTGATCTCTGCAATATAGCAGCATTACAAGAAATAGCTCACACTGAGGTTATGTCCCTCTCCCTGACTGATCTGTGGGTGGGAAATAGAAGCAGAAGTAGACCATTCAGCCCCTCAAGCCTGATACACAGGACACAGCACAGGAAGAAAAACAAAGTTGCTGGAAAAGCTCAGCAGGAAAAGCACAGCACAGGAAGAGATGCTTCGACCCACCATGTCTATGCCGGCCATAACTAACTTAATCCCCTTTGCCAGCACATGCTTCATATCCATTTATTCCCTGCCTGCAAACGTGTATGTCTAGATGCCTCTTAAACTTTGCTAACATGTCTGCTCCTACCACCTCCCCTGGCAGCATATTCCAGGCACCTACCACCCTCCCTTGCACATCTCCTTTAAACTTTTCCCCTCTCACTTTAAACCTACGTCACCTGGTATTTGACATTTCCACCCTGGAAACGATTTTTCAACTTCCCACCCAATCCATGCCTCTCATAATTATATATACTTCTATCAGGTCATCCCTTAGCCTCCAACATTCTAGCAAAAGTAATCCAAGTTTGTCCAACCTCTCCATACAGCTAATACACTCCAATCCAGCCAACATCCGAGTAAATCTCTTTTGCACGGTTTCTAAAGCCTCCACATCCTTCCAATGGTGTGACACCAAAACTGTATACAATACTCCAAATTTGGAATAACTAAATTCTTACACAGCTGCAAAAAGACTTGCCAACTTTTATACACAATGCCCCATCAATAAAGGCAAACACACCATGCACCTTCTTTACCACCTTATCCACTTCCGCTGGACTTGCAGCTCAAGATCGCTCCGTTTATCAATGCTGCTAAGCGTCTGGCCGATTACTGTATACTTTTCTTTTGCATTGACCTCCCAAAGTGCATCACCTTACACTTATCTGGATTAAACTCCATCTGCCATTTCTCTGCCCAACTTTCCAACTGATGTATATCCTGCTTTATCCTTCAATAACCTTAGTCACTATCTACCACTCCACCAACTTTTGACTCGCCTGCAAAATTATTAATCTGACCACCTGCATTTTCATCCAAATCATTTGTATCTATTACAAACAACAGAGGCTCCAACACTGAGCATTATGGAACACCACTGGACACATACCTCCAATCAGAAAAACACAACTACTTTCTGTATTCTTTGACCAAGCCAATTTTGTATCCAACTTGTCTGTATATCTACTATACCAATGCCTTTATCATTGTAAAGATCTTGAGTAGACCAACCCTCAATCTTCTAAGGGAATATAAGCCAAGTTCCTTTAGTGTCATCATAACTTAACGCTTGGGACCCTATTAAGATTCTGATTGAATCTGCACTGTAACCTCTACAAAGTATTATAACTAATCCCTGGATGGTGTTCCCTAGTTCATCATGTTTCCAGTCAGGATACCCCAAGTTGTTATATTCCCATGAGGGGAGACATGACTGGCTCCTCTTCTTCATTCACCCATTCCCTGGGTGAAGGTTAACTCAACTGCTGCTATTTCCACACACTAATCAATACTCATTTCTCCCACACCATTTCAAACACGTATTCAGTCTCTGATTTTATTTGCCTTTTTCCAAATTACCCATGGCTCAGGCAGCATGCCAGCATTTATTAATCTTGTAGTTCTGCTTTTCTAAATTAGGTCCCATTTGGTCGTACTCCCTCAGTAGAAACTTTTTCTCAGTCCGACCTGTATCACTGGTCCCATATGAACTGCAACAACTGGATCCCTCCCCTCTCAATCTAACTCCTTCTCAAGCCCTGGAGAGATGCCCTTACCCTGGCTTCAGACAGGCAATACAAACATCAGAACTCAAATCCTCAGCTGCAGAGTACAATATCCATACCCCTAACGATACTGTCTCCTGTGTTTTGAGCAGGCAAGGATGGGGGTATATTGGTTTCATTCCATTGTCTACCCTTTTGTCGCCCACAACAAATATTTAAGTTCTTTTTAGCACTAAGATATACCTCTCTTCAATTGAAATGTAGGTTTCTAATTTGCACAGTGGCAGTAAGAAGACAATTACCAGGTTTTCTTGAGAGAAAGAAAGAGCAATTTTATTACCTGCTAATACTGGGGAAAAAGATCATGATGCAACATCAAAAATGTATACACGCATGCATGTGCACACGTGCAAACACACACACCCGCGCGCGCGCACACACACACACACATATATATACACACACAAACACATACACAAACACATACACACACACACACACACACACACACACAGACACATATAAACACACACACACTCAAACGCGCAACACTCTGTTGAGTTCATTATGTTGGACGATACCAGTAGCATTGAAATTGAAAATTAATTTCAAGATTTAAGTAGGCTTTGCAATTTAGCAGAAATTCTGTTTCTTGCTTCCTATTGATGACAAGTAGTTTGCAACAAAGAGTAAGGGGTTACTGTTTTCTTTTTACCTACAATGCAGGGGTTTTTAATGACTGTCCTCAAGCTGTGACCTTCACAGCATACTAGTTCACACACTAGCACGTCAGGCCACTAACATTCTGATCAAGGACTGGAGAGATAGAAAGATCTGCCGATGCTGGAGTCAGAGATAACATAGTGTGGAGCTGGAGGAACACAGCAGGCCAGGCAGCATCGGAGGAGCAGGAAAGTTAACATTTTGGATCAAGGGTCCTGACCTGAAATGTCAGCTTTTCTGCTCCTCTGATGCAGCCTGCTGTGTTCCTCCAGCTCCACACTGTGTTATCTCTGATCAAGGACTGCAGTTATTTTTTAACTCCTGTTTAGCACATCCCTAGAAATATAAACACATAAAAATGACTTTCGACTCAACCTCAGTCTGGATTCAAATCCGTAGATGTTTTTCTACAGAAACAAGGTAATTAGATTGCCTTGCACTTCTGCCTTTGAAGTTCGTCTCCCTCTTTCGCTGAAGTTTATGTAGCACCTTAAAAGCACAACATTCCAGGATTTCACAAAAGGAAATTTTTCAGCAGTTAGAACATCCCACCAGCAGTGAAACATTAATTCTGCTTTCTCCCCACAGATGCTACCATACCTAAGAGGTTTCACCAGCAATTTCTATTCTTCTGTTGTGTCATTTTACACCTATGTCGAAGAGTCTGAATTCAAAAGTCTAGTCAAGAAGAAGGCAAAATCGAGAAGTTTCTTCAGAGTTGGGCTTATTTGTAACGGTCAAAAACAAAAACAGAATTTGCTGGAAAAGTTCAGCAGGTCTGGCAGCATCTGTGAAGAGAAATCAGAGTTAACATTTCGGGGGATGGTGACCCTTCCTCAACTGATGGTAGCTGGGAAAATGTCAGTTTATATGTGTCGGGGGAGGGGGTAAGGAGTAAAAGAGAAGTGGGGATAGAATCCAAAGAGAGAGAAGAGCAGTTGGACAGACAAAGGAGTTGATAACGATCTGGCTAGGAGGGTGAATAGCTGTTAATGGGGACTGTTAGTGACTAACAATACATAGTGTGTAATGGCAGGTTAGGTGATAGCAAGGCCTGGTGGGTGGGGTAGGGGGCTAGGTCATGGGAGAGTTCAGGCCCTAAAATTATTGAACTTGATATTGAGTGTGAAGGGCTGCGGGGTCCCCAAGTGGAAAATGAGGTGTTGTTCTTCCAGTTTGTGCTGAGCTTCACTGGAACACTACAGCAAGCCTGAGACAAAGATGTTGGCCAGGGAACAGGGTGGTGTGTTAAAGTGGCAGGCAACTGGAAGCTCACGATTTTTTGCAGGCAGAACGTAGTTGATCTGTGAAACAGTCTACGCTTCGTTTTTCTTCCCTTCTCAAGATCTCTGTTTCCATTTCTGGGGATAGACTTATCACTAGTATCCATTTATAAACCCACTGACTCTCAGAACTACTGAACTATACATCCTTGCATCCTGCATCCTGTAAAGACTCCATTCCATTCTCTCAGTTCCTCTGTCTCCATTGCATATATTTCAATGAGGCCAACTTCAACAAGGTAGCATCCAAAATGTCCACCTTCTTCATCAACTGAGGATTCCCCAGCACCTTAGTCAACAGTGCCCTCAAACAGGTCCAAGCCATCTCCCGCACTTCCACCATCACCCCCTCTCTTCCTTCCTACTACAGCGATAGAGTTCCCCTTGTCCTTACCTACCATCCCACCAATGTCCACATCCAGAAGATCATCAGCCGCCATTTCCGCCACCTCCAGCAAGATGCCACCACCAGACACACATTCTCCTCCCCTCCCTTGTCCATTTTCCACAGGGACCGTTCCCTCTGGGATACCCTGGTCCACTCTTCCTTCACTCTCAACACCTCCCCATAGCCCAACGGCACCTTACTGTGCAACTGGAGAAGGTGCAACACCTGCCCATTTACCTCTTCCCTCTTCAGTGTCCAAGGGGCCAAACATACCTTCCAGGGTAAACAGCACTTTACCTGTACTTCACACAATCTAGTCTACTGCATTCACTGCTCACAATGTGGTCTCCTCTACATTGGGGAAATGAAGCATAGACTGCATGACTGCTTCACAGAACATCTATGTTCTGCTCGCAAAAAAATCCTGAGCCTCCAGTTGCCTGCCACTTTAACACACCACCCTGTACCCTGGCCAACAACTCTGTCTCTGGCTTGCTATAGTG